AGAGAGAGAGAGAGAGAGAGAGAGAGAGAGAGAGAGAGAGCTTGGTGACATTTGGATCCAGACTCGACATTGGACTCAGACATTTTGACGAGGGACTATTTGGGACTTGTAACGAGACTTGGTGTTGACGACTTTCTCATCTCTCCCCTCCTCCTCGTCTGATCCCCTCCTCTTCGTCTGTGCATGGCTGGACCTGGCGCCTCTTCCTGTGTATAGCGCCAGGCCCCTTCACACCTTGTGGTGAGAATGATGTATGTTTAGTCTGCATTGAGACATTCATTGGGCTCGTCATTAGTATTCTAGCCTTCTGCTTCGCTATCTTGTACTACGTAAAGGAGGTCAGTCCCGGTCAGGTCAGGACTTGTATCTAAGTCTTCCACTGCGCTATAAAGCACCATTTTTGTATGTATCGGAATGCACACTGCTTGTTGAGATTCTACTTGCACTGCATTGTCCATTCAGTCCTTTTTATCACATTGCGGATCGTCGGTTATTATGTACATCGCCCAACTGGGCATGTAACAAGGATCCTCCATTGTGAATGTCTGTAAATTTCGCCTTTTTGGCTTTACGATTCCATCAGCGTTCCCCTCCTAGTGTGAAAGAACAACGAAACTGTTACAGAATAAATCAATGACAACTCGAGGCCGCAGCGGAGGGGGCGATTCTCGCCCAAGCAGGTAGGGGACCATGGTCGGGAGACTCCCAAGGGTACCCAGACACCACAGCCTTCCCACCTACAGTCTCTACTGTAATGAACCCAGTCTGTAAGATACTCGCCAGATGTCAAAATACAAAGTAACTCAACTCTGAACAATGTCCCCAATAATCATGAATGTGATCTCTGATACAATGTCTCATTTCCAGTAGACGAAGAGAGTGGAGGGGGAATAGAAGGTGGAAGAGAATGTAATCATCAATGACCACACAGAGAGTAGCCCAACATTCCCCACTCCTTCTCCGGGCTTCCGTCGCCTCCACGTCAGCAAACAGTATCCAGTAACGAGCCTGACAATCCTGATCGCATTGAAGTGCCTCTCGTGAAGACGTTGGACAATCAACAGCGCACAGTATCGACATCAACGTCAGGTAAGTATCCCGATCCGCCTCAATCATCCACAGATCCCGATCTCCCTCCTTGTCGAGTCCAGTCACCCAATGTCGACAGCGTGGTCAATGCCACATCAGCGAAGAAGACAGGTGGCATGCACCACATCAGCAATGACGACAGGTGGCATGCGGCACATCAGCAATGAAGACAGGTGGCATGCGCCACATCAGCAATGAAGACAGGTGGGCATGCGCCACATCAGCAGAGGCTGGCGCTCAGCAGAGAAGGCGCCAGCATGCTGCCTCAGTCCCGCGTCGTCGTCCACAGTGCCAGCACACAGCCAGCATCAAGCCAGCATTGTAAGACTGAATGTTGACCCCCTGGAGGCAGGGTCTTATGTAGTGATTGACCGAGTTGACCTGCCTCAGGTCTCCCACCCACGGTGGCGCAGATTGACTCACAGCCGAGGGCCTGAATTGCGTACAGTTGCAGACTTTCACTTGGTCCTAATGCTGTCTTGGTACCTGCATACAAACAAGTGCGTGTGTCTGACCGGCGGCCTGGGCTGGGTGCATGCAGACTTTGACTCTTGGCCCGCTGGGCAGTTGACCAAAGTCAACTGTCAGGCGCACAGGCCCTGGGTCAACAAGGGAATTTCTCCCTCTGGCCTTTGCGGCCTCAGACCGGGGTCGCGGCCTGCGTGTGGCCTGAAGGCCACTTCAGGGCATATCAGGCGGGGTATTGCATTATTGTTTCTGCCAGAGTTATTTCATCCTCCCTGACCGCTTGTTGGGGGGCCCTGCACCTTCCAAGTGAAACCCTGGACGGCAGAGGGACACCTTGGAGTTTCCCTTTTCTCTGCCCATAAAGGGCCTCCCCACACCACTCTCGAATCGAAAAATTCGAGAGTGTTGAATGGCCACACAACCTCACAAAACTTCGACGTGAAAAAAGTTTCGCGGGGTGTCAGAATCAGCAACAACTCATTGTATCTCAGGGGACGCTCGACCCACTTTCCGGCAGGTGTAGCTCCCCACCAATAGACCGGACCCCCCTGCAAGACAGGTAGGAGTGTATGCTCTTATCATCCCTCCTACCTGTTGATGGGGGTGGACAAAAAATGTTAAAAAACGCATTTCTTTTGGGAAAAAAACAGAAAAAAAGACGAGAGAAAAGAAAACAAGCATCTAGCAAGGACTCTCTCATCCTGCAACAATTGCGTTCCACCTTCGAAGAGTCTTTCCCTTTTTTTTTTTTTTAATTGTCATTCCAAGAGTCCTTGGCCCGACTCTCGAAAAACCCTCTTTTGCTTCCGAGAGTTGACCTTAGGCCGGACGGACAAGGGGGTTTTGTCCTCTCCTCTAGGGTTTTGTGTCCTTTCCCAGCCAAATCTCGAGAGCAACCGGTTCCAGAGGTCGCTGTGAGAAGGGCGGATTCTCACCAGATCAGGGCTCTCGAAAGTTTCTGACACCTCGTGAGATATTTCAATATTTATCATTTGAAAGCATGAAGCTGGTCATCTTTACAAGCGGCACTCAAATTGACAGAGTGATGTCTCTGTAGAACTGTAAATTAATGCGAAGGTGACAGTCTGACACACAGGTCACCTTAAGAGCCTTGCCCGGAC